GTCGCGCTCCAGAACGTCTTGATCTCGCTCGTGGCGCTGCCGGGGTACTACGTCGCGTGCTACTTCATCAACAAGATGGGCCGCAAGCGCATCATGCTCCAGGGCTGCACGGTCATGACGGTCGTCTTCCTCATCCTCGGCATCTGGTGGGACGAGATCCGCAAGTCGAGCGCCGGCTTCATCGTGCTCTTTGGCTTGACGCTCTTCTTTGCCAACTTTGGCCCCAACATGTCGACGTTTGTCATGCCCACCGAGATGTACCCGACCGCGATCCGCAGCTCGTGCCACGGCTTCTCGGCCGCCATGGGCAAGGCTGGCGCGTCGATTGGGTCGTATGGCTTCTCGCTCTGGGTCGACAACCCGAGCTTTGGCTACGTCGGCACGTGGTTTACGTTTGCGGGCATCTCGGTGCTCACGATTTTGCTGACGGTCTTTTGCATGTTTGACAACAATGACGAGGCGAGTGTCATGGACAACGACTTCAAGGCCAAGCTCGCCATGGAAGACGACGACGTGCGCAAGTCGTTTGTGAGCCAGATGGAAGAGCCGCTCGACCACTACGTCGAGAACAAGGCGTAGAGTGCAATAGATATATAAGTATTTGTCGAAGTGAACAGAGGTGGTGTGCTCCTCTTTGCGTATTGTTCTCAGCAGGGATGCTCATTTCCAGAGCAAAATGGCAAATACGACGATGGCCCATCTGCAGTGGAGTAACATGGCTCACTTGATGCATTCAGTGGCAACGGCGGCAGCGCATCACGTCCCGGTTCCCAAGCTTTGCGTGCGGGCGAGGACTTCTGTAGCCGGCATGCCGCAAGTGCTATCGTGAAGCCTACACAGCAACGCTTGCGGCTCGTCGTCGACGCAAAGCGTGTGCGCTGTGGATACGAGCAGACCGAGCTCGTACGTGTACCAGCCTCGCGTAGGCTCTGGCTCGAGCGAAAGACCACCAGAGTACATAACACTAGTAGACGCCAGATACCCTTGATAGCCCCACCACGCACCTCTCGTTGGCCACTCAAAAGGTCGGTCGGTCTCAACGAAACAAAGCTCAACGCGCAAGAAATCGTGGATGAAGGAGACGTTACGAGCCGGCATTGGTTTCGAACTGCCTGTCTAAAATAGCGCGCGCAGTGCCCAACAGTCCGTTTGGCGCGCACCCTGCCCGCCTCTCCCGGCCTCTCGATGAAACCAGCCCCGGTGGCGGGCCCCGTGACGCACACTGCGACGATGAAGAACACGCGCAAGATCTCGCCCGAGCTGCAGTCGACCAACACGGGCCAAGGGATGCACCGGGACACGTCCATGAACAAGTTCACGACCATGTCCACGGTGCGGACCCCGGCCTTCCACAAGGCTGGCACGATGCGCACGCCGACGCAGCGCTGGGGCATGGCGATCCTCGAGCGCAAGTCGTACGCGGGCTTGATGAGCTTCATCACGCTCTACTGCCTCTTCGCTGATGACTTTCGAGCTGCCTTCTTCAGCAAGAGCGCCGACATGGGCTTCTACGCCGTCGCGTTCGTCTGTCTTCTCCTCTTCCTTGTCGAGTTTGCCATTTCGTGCCGCTGCAAACCGGGCTACCTCCTCTCGTTCTACTTTTACCTTGACGTGATCGCCACGCTCTCGCTTCTGCCCGACATTGGGTTCATTTGGACGCCACTGACCAGCGCCGACACGGTCTCCAGCGTCTCGAAAGCGGGCTCGACGGCCGGGCGCATCGTCCGCGTCGTCCGCGTCATCCGACTCATCCGCGTCGTGAAGCTCATCAAGTGGAAGCACAGCAACGCCGAGTCCGAGTTGGTCATCGTCGAGAGCAAGACCGGCGGGCGCATGGCGGAAATGACCATCCGCCGCGTCGCGCTGATCGTGCTCTTCCTCTGCTTTGTGCTCCCGGCTTTCGACGGCGGCTACAACGAGTCGTTCAACCTCTTTGAGTCGCGCGGCTTTGACTTGATCCACCAAATGTCGAC